CTCATAAGTCTTTCCTCAAGTCTCTCCAGTAGCATTGTTCCTCAACAGGGTCTGCATCAATCTATATTCTGTTAAAATTTGCAAGTTTGTCTATTCAAATGAGAGATTCAGTATCAATAGGTCTGCAGGCAGGATCAATATTAAAGTAACTAGCTTTAGTAATTAGTACATGCTTGTTAGACAAAAAAAAGGCTGTGAATATAAACAGTGTTCCCCAGTAACATCCATTCAGTAGTCAACCCATTATTAACATTCTAACTTTGTTTTGGAGGGGGAAGACACTATTGAGAAGTAGGTTTGGATACTAATTTACGGCGTACTGATTACTGCGCACTAACTCTGGTAACTGTGTTAGTCCAATGTGTTAGCTCTTGGCACGTTGTAAACATAAACTGTCTTACTTTTCTTTGAAAAGGGAGTACTGTATGTCATGCTTCCTGTGCACTGAGTCAGTACACAAGAAGATGGTATAAAACAGCCAGTATGATGAAGATGCATGATCTCCCTTACTTACTGGTAACTTTTCTAGATTATCTGCAGCCTTCGAAAACTAAAACTCTCAGGCGAAATTTTGATTTTGAAATACATATTTTCCTAGCTTTCACTTAGTTTTAGTGATTTTATACATATTTTCACTAAAAATGCTAAGACTTACCTGTACGAAAAGATATCGCTGTGATGGGACCCCAGTCTTGTTGAAATTTCATCAGAGTTTCATCAAACTTAATGTTATGTAGAATGATATGACCAGATACAAGACCAATTGCAACAACATCCACTGCTGGAGCCTGCAAGAAAAATTGAACAGCAACTGAAACAAAAAAGGAAAAGCTTGTTGCTACACTACTAACACCAACACGTACAAGACAATGTATCTAAGCCCAGGACAAATAGTAAAGAAACAAATAAGGCATCTCGCATGAGATCTTCTACCTATATTAACTTAACGCACGACTGAACATCTGATAAATCTAAAAAAAAAAGAGAGATGCAAGATTTTGCGCTTAGCCTCCATTGGATGAAACAATTCTGTTTCCAGAAGCTGAAACTCCTTTGAAAAACATCTCACTAAGTTTTCAGTAGTGCTGGTAGACCATTATACACCCTGCCACGCATCCCCATCTTTACAAGTTTTATCCAGGACAACTGCAGACCATTTTCAAAGCTGTCATCAATGCTACCAGTAAGTTTTCATTAACTTTTGTATCTACAAAAATACAGCAAATACAATTACAAAATATTTTCTTGAATCAGCAAAATCTACATTTTATTAACCTCCAAAGCAAAAAAATTTAGCAAATAGCTACCAGTGTAACAGAAATTACATGATACACATGCATCTTGCTAACAAAGATTCTTTACATCATTCAGTGAATAAAGACTACAGACATCATGAACACAAAACAGCTAAGACACTAAATGCAACAGAACTAGGACTAGAGGAAGGGTAGATAATAAGCCTTCAAGTCTACCTCTTTTCAACGTCTAAAATGCTCAGCAGAGGGTTATTAAAATTACCTGAGAGAATACGAGTCATCTTTATTGCTGTAATTTTAAAAGATATTTTGGCTGCTATTCTTGACCAGTTATGTAAGAAAATAAGATACCAAAATTACTAACTTGTTCAAGAGTTGTGACTGCTAAGTTCCATCCTGGAAACGAGTATAAGAGTTTGCTGGAAAACAAACAAACAAAAAACATAAATCAATTAACCCTTGGGGATTTTCCACAACAAAATGGATGCTTTAGATGCACTTACACAGAAAGTACATCAGCTTTCTGTCCTTATAAATTAGTTAAAAGGTAAAAAAACCCCTGTGATACTAATAAGTAAGGTTAAGAATAAAACTTATGGTTAATTTTTATTGAAAAAGTTAGTGTCATGCATTAATATCTCCAAGCTGACATAATTACATAATATGAATAGGGAGGAAGACCCCTTCTATGCCAGTTGCGCCCCACGCACTTCTGCTCTGAACACACTTCTTCACAGTTCTTAACAGCAACATAAAAAGCCAATCTTGGCCCAACTTCTAATAAAACCAAATCCTTCAGCTGCAGAGTAACTTCCCTAAATGAAGACACTAACGCATATTACAAGCACACCCCATCTTGTTTCTTTCAGAAAAGGTAACAGCCAAAATGTGACGCAGGACTGTTCACCAACAAGGCAGTCATGCAGCACTTACTAAGGGTGAAATTATGAAGACAGCATTTAAGAACAGACATGACTAAAAAACTATTCCATCACCACAGATACAGGTTGTCATTCTTAGAAGACTGCTAGCAGACATGTGTTACCACCTCTCACCTTCCTTTCTTGCCAGAGACCCATCAAACTTTCCCCTCAGTTCTCCAAATTTATTTTTTTGTCTAATTGTGCCCATACCTATCTACAAAATAATCTATGTAGGGAACAAACAGTCAAAAACAGAAATTGCTTAACCCACCAACATTGCTAAAACAGCAGTAACAGACCCGTAAGTTTTTACACAATTAAGAGAAACTAAGCCATCTAAGGAAGACTTTTTGTCATCTAGAATGTATTGCATCTCAGATGCTGCAACAGGCATTGAAGAGACATAAGAGTGCTATGAGTAGAGACATTTACTTTTCTGTATTTTCAGGTTATTCCTATTTCCTGATTTATATAGCATATATGGCATCTCCAAAACATTAGAATATGAAACAAAAAAATTAGCAGTGATATCACTGAAAGCATACAGTAGTTACAAGAATAAAATACTGAACTATACAAGCTGAGTTAACACCTGTTTGCAGTATGTACATTAACATGCAGGCAAGTTCACTTAGCTGTAACTTTCATGAGTTAGAAAAGCAGCTGATCGTGGTAGGCATGAAATATTGCCATTATGGACGGTGCTCTACCAGGACATGCTCAGAGACAACTACATGTCTACACACCTCTTATCTGAGTATAAGGAACAAACGCTAGTAATTACCTCCACACTACCTGCCAGCATTTCCTTGGACCCACAACAACCAAAAAATTAAGCTTGGAAGAAGGGAGGCAGAAGGCCTGAACATGCATTTACTGTTATTTTAATTATTTTCATGAGAAAGCTATGTGATTCCAAGAAATAAAAAAAAAAAACAAACCGTAACTAGAAAAAAAATTCCTGAACAACCCCTGACATTTTTGCAGGGAGAGTAAACAACACGCAACTTGAAAGGCATCAGCGTTTAGGGAGCAGCAGCATTCTTTGTTCCTGGAGATAAACCAACTGAAAACTTGTGCCAAAGGACTCAGTAAAACATTCCGTGTTCAAAACCTACTTAAAAGTATTATTTGTGGCATATGAAACTACTATGAGCACGAAGTATATCCAAGTTATTAAGAATCTTACTTGGATCTTATATTCCATAGCTGCAAGCTCCCTTGTTCACTCCCAAGGAGAATTTTATTCAAATAGGTGCTGGGATGCAGAACTGCAGAAACTGCAAAAGTGGCCTTATCAAAATCCACTTGAAGATACTCCTCTGCAAAAAGTAAGAAACAATGTTAGTGTGGTTACCCCTGCAAATCTGCAGGCTTATCATCCCTTGGCAAATGTAAAGGCAGAACTGATGTTTACTCTGTACAAATCCCATAATTGGTGTTTCTTGCATTAAAGGATTAGCTAATGCATAACGGGACAGGCTAAACTTGTTTACATTATAGTATCTGTTGGCTTGAAGGTATATTTTTTCCCTATAAGCCTACCTAGCACAACAATGCTGGCAAAACTATAGTGATTTATATCTTTCTGAAGGATTCCTCCTCCTGCCTGAGCAAAACACCTCATTTGATTAACATGCCTTTTGTTTGTTATAGCAACTTCAAATCTCTAAAGCCTGTCTGCAGCCACTTTCGAGACTCAGCATCCAGGGAACAACATTGGTCACACCAAAGTGAATGCTTTGTAAAGAAAAAAATTCAGGTCACTGAAGCAGGATTTTGTAAGGCACTCTACAATGGCATGAGAAGATGCTGACACAACCAAAAGACTATTCGTAAGAATTTAGTCTTATCCAGACTGGTAAAACCAAGGAACTACAGGATTTCAGAGATGGTGCCAAAGCTGCTGTACCACAGTCTTTACCAGAAAATGGAACACTTAAATGCAATTTCCATATAAGCATATCTCTTTACACCCATATGGAACCTTACTGAGTCTCTGCATGCGGTGCAGCATCCATTCATGAAAAATTATTGCAGGGTTAGGACTTCAGACTACCATTTAAGTAGCATTATCATTTAAGGATTTTTCTCTTTTTTTAAGAATAAACTACTTCTGAACATGTGCATTTAAAAAACCCTTTTTACAAAATTACTGGATGTTTAACAATGCTATCCTACAAAGTAGTAACAAAAATAAAGTGTCTCTCACCTTCTGACTGTATATTCCAAACAATAAGAACATTATCAACATCCATGGAGATGACATGATCACCAAAAGGCTGCAGAAGGTGTATCCTTGCCTTGTGACCTTTATAGGTATGAACCACCTATAATTTCAAAATAGAAATGTTTTCAATGTAAGTTGTTCAGCTAACATATCATGTTAACGTAATACTTGAGGACAGCTGACACACGTCAGCAACAAGTTTAAATAAGATACATGGAAAGGCCACACAACTTTAAGTGGAAGACACATAATTTTCTCTGATATTTAAAACTGTTGGCACAAATATTTTAACTAAGTATTTTTAATTATTTAGTTTAATTTTAATTCATTTAATTTTTGCAAATTAACAATTTATTTTTTATCTTTAAGTAACTACCTAATTATTATAATTAATACATAAAACACAGGTCAGCAATTACAGAATTTCCTCTTACATTCTCCTATTTTATGCTTTTTATTCCTCCTTCTACAGTTTTTGTTTCCCTAAAACTGAAGGTAGTAAACATCTACTGAAACAGACGTTTGTAAGAAAATTAACTGTCTTGAAAACACAAACACAACTGTTTTGTACTACTAAGCAATAAGTAAACGAATAAAAACCTCTTTGTTCCTGGCAAAAGCATGGAGAATATTGTTGTATGAAGCAAATACCAACATGCGGTCAGCTGCCAAACATGTAATGTCTTGTGGCAAAGCATTACCTGTTAATCAAAGAGAAGAAAAGTTCAACAAGTTTCAGGTTCATAACAAAAGAGAAAACTTGACAGTGTATTTATTCAGCATGGTGACCCACCAAGAAAGCTCTCCTCTTGAACGTTACGTTGAATTTCTTAGAGAAATGTACACATTTCAGATGCACATATTACCATAAATAACATCACACCAGTAACAACAACGTAAGTAACATTAGATTGATAGATCACAAGGCGGTTCTTTTGAAAAACACTTAATAATAAATTACTGAATTGTCACTGTAAGTAAAGGCACATGTTAGCTTCATGAGGGCTTAGAAAGAAGTTATCCCAACATAACACTTCTGCAGACTGTAAGAGCCCCACAGCCCACTGGACTGGAAACACAGATGATAAATCAAAGTCTCAGCATTAGCAACGCCTATTAGATTAAACTATTCTGCAGACCTGGAAGCTAGGGACCCACTCCTGCACCCATTTCCTGATTACAGCTAAAGGCACCAAGAATTTACTGCTCCAAGAATAAATACTCTCCACCTTGTGACCGGTTCAGAAAGAGTATTTACTACTGTGATCTGCTACTTTATTAGCTCAAATGGTAAAAGAGTCAAAGCTCCAGACCACACTGAGAAGCTGCTGGTGTGGTCCCAAATGGTAGAAAATGGAAAAAAATACTCTAGTACTCTAGGGAAAAATACTCTCAATCTAGGGAAATATAAAAATGCAAATCACAGCGCTTAATGATTGTACAGAGAAACACCAGATCAAAAATCAGTCACTGTGGGAGCGCGCCTATGATACAAACTTACATGATCACACAGCAGCCTTCCCCACAACGTTGCTTTGTATTATGAATTATTATGGGACACACAGAATCCTGTACCCTTTGCTGTACTGCAGCACAGCTTCAATGGGAAGAACTAAACTAAGAAAATAAAACAGGTTGCGCATTATGAGAGGTTTGCTTTGTTAGATATGTTCCCATAGTGCCTCTGAAGTGACTTAGGCCTACAATCAGGTTACAGATACCTGGTACTCCACATGAGCTGTATGCAGGTCTGCTTAGGCCAAGACAGTTTTAGGCACACCCCAATTAAAAAGTTCAGAGCACCAACCACGTAACATCAATAAACCAACAACACCAAATAGAGGGGCACATAGTTTATTATTTTTTCAGTCACAATTTTGTATGTACAATTTCTCAAAAAACTTAAATGATTATGTCTGTAAGAAGATGTAGCCCACTGAAAAGGATTTCACAGAATATGCAATGTTTGTCCGACTTTGTAAGCTGAAAACAGAAGTTACTTTACTGTGTTTACAGCTGTAACTATTTACTGCTGATCTTCTAAATCTAGTCCTGGTTGTGTGACAGTTATTTATTCTCAAGTTCATAGGTGCTCTGCTAATGAAAAACACTTTGGTTTATGACGTCTGCGTAAAAACTTTGTGGTATACAGAAGTAAAAAAACCTACTTGCCAAGAAAGCGTGCATCTCCCTGAGTCAACTAAACGTCGGTTGAAAGGGACCTTTGGAAATCATCCAGTTCAACCTCCCCACCCAGCTCCTCCCAAAGCTGGATTATCACCAATACTAGATCCGGTTAACTGCAGCTATGCCCAGCTGAAGTCTTGAAAACTTCTGGGGAAGGAGATCGCTCAAGCTCTACACTGTGCTACAGTTCCCTCTTAGTCAGGGCCATTTTTCCTAACCTCCACTGTGACTCTCTCAAGCTGCAATCTGTGGCTGTTGCCCCTTATTACTCTGTCTACCATTATTACCACAAATTCAGCTCTGCCTTCTTCGTAACCGCCCTTCAGGCAACAGGCTGCCTCTAGGTCACCGCATATTTTTCCCTTCACAAGACTAAACAGATCCAGCTACTTCAATGTCTCTTCTCATACTGCGTGCTGTAGGCCCCTGACACTTCCCAGTTCCTCAGCATCCCTCCCGAAAGACGAGCGGTGGGAGGGGGAGAACCACACTAACTGGGTATCGCAGTCCAGGCACGGCCTCACCAGCACGAAGTACAGGAGAATAACAGCTTTCCCTGATCTGCTGGCGGCGTTCCTAACGTAGCTCAGTACACGGCTTGCCTTATTTACAGTTACTGCATTGTTGGTCCACGTTCAACCTGGCACCAGCACAGCCGCAGCTCCTTTTCAGAGTCAGTTCCCGGCTTGTTCTGTCCCAGGTGCAGGATTCTGCACCTACCCCTGCTGAATTTGGCGAGGTTTCTGTTGGCCCAGGCCTAGCGTTTTGCAACACCTTCCTGGTCTGAAGCTTTGCCATTCTGGGTGTCAGCTACTTCTCCTAACATAGTATCGTCTGCAAAGTTTTACTAAGAGTGCACGCCACCTCATCACCCAGGCTGTTGGTGAAGGTGCTGAACAACACGGGCCCTGCTGTTGACATCTAGGGTGCTACGCTTTGTTACCAACTGCCAACTGGATGTCAAGCCATTGATTCACATCCTTTGTATCCAGCAGTCCAGCCAATTTTGAACACTCCCTGAAGATTTTTAGTCCCATCTACACCTGTTCTGTTCCTGTCATTATTTTCCTCCTATAACGCAGCCTTCTAGTAACCACAAAAACAACAAAAAAAGGGATCTGGAATTAACAGCTTTATTCACTGCTCGCTCCTCAAGGCCTAGGGGTGTTCTACGAAGAACAAGATTACAAGAATAGGAGGTTCACAAGATATATCCCTAAGAGAACTAAGTTACAGTTGCAACAGCAGTCTTATTTCCAAATTGATATGTGGTATTTCTGAGACTGCTTTCAACATATTTCAGTGTAAATATTAGTACATACAATCAATTTTCCATTTCTGAGTTGAGAATCAAGTGCAGATGTTAGATGTGTTTAAAAAAAAAAAAAAGAGGAATGAACAATCTGTGCATACTTACTCACAGCAACAATACCAAGCTTCTTCACCTGCAATGAAAATATTAAAAAATGCATTTTTAGTGATTGGTTGCAATGAATTTGCTATAAACAGAAATTCAAAATTCTAGGAACCAACCTAGATGAGATAAGGAATTTGCATGCCTCACAAGACAGAAAAATTATTCACCTTATTTTACAGCAGTATCTACAGGAAAACCCACAGATAGCAAGTCAAAAGGAATGGGATAATATATTTGCCAAAAGACAACCATTCAGCAACAGTATGTTGTGCTTCTTGATATATTCTACCCTAATGCACAGGAAACTAAGCACATGTTTAAACACCTTGCAGAGTTTGGGCAAATTTGTTTTCACATCATCTCTGCTTCTATTTCCACTACAACCACACTATGTTGTTATCTTATCCCTGCCCACATAGAATTTGCTTCAGTTACAGTCATCTTTGCTCAGTGATGATCATTGTTACTATTTCAATTCAAAGTCTGTGGAGAAGATTGACAGGCGTGAACACTAAAAGACTACCATAAACGCACAGGAAGCTCTACGCTGTCTGCACTCTGCTGTTCTCTATTATCACTCGATTCAGTTCTATTTTGTTACTGTTTCTATACACTGAAAATGCTTTTATCGTACAGCAACAAGCGAGGCAATATCACAAGCTCTCATCTTGCAGAACTGAATTATGCTCATCTGCTTCCATACAGGAGAAGTTTTAATACGATCTAATGGATTGCCCCCCAAAATTGTAGCCCTCAAACGCTAAACCGCAGCAATCCAAACCGCAGGTGTGCTCTGGTTTACCCAGCAACGAAAGAAAAGCTTCAGCGTCTGGGCGCTCCTCTGCCCGATGGATGGGCTGTGCTGCACCCGCAGGGCTGCCCACACGGCTCAACAAGCCCGTTCTGCCCTGTTTAACCAGCAGCCACCAGCCCTTCCTCCCAACCACC